TCAATCAATGACTATTCGTAATGTTTTTTTTTTAAATTATGTATAATATGCACGAAAATCCAATTAAATGAACTAGTTACGTTCTGAATCGTTTTTTTAAAACCTTATTATTATTCATTTGGTATTGTTTGTTCAAACTTTCCCATTGATGTTTAGCACTGCAACTCATCAGTGTCTAATTGGCATATGTGCATACTGTGCGTATTGCCTCGATATAGCCTAAATTCACAACTATTGTATGCAAAGATGGATAGTGGCTAGCAGTGGATAACGCGGTGGAGTTTGAAGTGATAGATATTGGGTTCGAGTCCCAGAGTGAACATCAACTCTGAGATGCAAGTACATCCAGCTGACGAGTCCCAAATAGGACGAAACGCGCGTTGTGGATTACACTGCTAGACACTATCCATCTTTGCTTACTTCTTCTTCTTCTTCTTCTTCTTCTTATTATTATTATTATTATTATTATTATTATTATTATTAATACGTTTCATCAGTTTAATTAAACAAAAGTACCACATAAGAACTCTCATGTTTGATTTTCTTTTTCAAATAGTTGAATTACACTTGAAATATTAAAAAAAAGCAGGATCAAGTGGACATCTCACCAAATCCGTAGAAAATATAATCACTCTGGATAAAAATACACTTACAAGATGATGATGATGATAATAATAACAATAATCACCCTATTCAGTAATATCCATATAGTTACCATAAAGAATACTGAACACAATATAAACAATCTTGTAATAAATTCCTTTTCTTATATCTATTTTACTTGTAAAAAAGATTATCAGTGTGTATGTAATATAAAGCTTTTTCAATGGTGATTAGACGGTGTACATGTTTATGTTACAAACATTTTCTACTAGTTTCGCACCTACAGTATCTATTTTTCGTTACTGGAAGATATGCCAAAAAATTTGAATACCTTTCGTAATTAGTTTTGCAATACGTTTTAATTTTTATATATACTTGAAACATGATTCAGTTGAAGCTAGACAATCATCAAAAACTTGGAAGCACTGGACGGCCATTTCGTCCTATTATGGGACTCCTCAGCAGTGTGCATCCACGATCCAACCAGCTCAGTGGTCTAGAAGTTAAGTACTCATGCGCGAGACTGATTCATCCTGGGTTCGAATCTCGTGATGTGGGGGCGTGGATGCGTACTGCTGAGAAGTCCCATAATAGGGCGAAATGGCCGTCCAGTGCTTCCAAGTTTTTGATGATTGTCTAGCTTCAACTGACTCATGTTTCAAGTACATATAAATATTACTAAAATATCTCCACAAACAACCCACTAATACGTTTTAAGTTTGATTATCAGTAATTCCTATTTAATTTAGGTTTTGTGGTAGTTATAACTTGTAATGAGAGTCTATTTTGTAATCCTAAAGGAACAAGGATAGTATTGATAACGAGAAGCTAGAAACAAATTTTGATTTGAAAAATGCTTAGTTGACTGGATTAATATTTATGACTGAGTGGTTGTTGTTATCTTAACGTTCGTTAAGTTAAAAATTTATTTGGTTGTTTGACGAAACGCATATATTTGTAAATTGCGGGTTCAACTTGAATACCTTTCTGTTGGGATGATCTTGAAAATTTCTCGCAATAGACATGACAAGCTCAGGAAAACATTAAGGAGCATTTTATCCAATCAGAGTTTGATTTGAAGTTTTACTAAAAACACCACAAAAATAAAAAGTCACATGTTGAGGTTCTGATTGGCTGATTACTACACTGCTACTATGTTGAGTAGTATTCTAGAATTTTTAGGAAAACCCATGGACTTCTAAAATATTATATTTTCTGTAAATAAACGAACCTTTGGAGTAAAGTGCTTCTCGTATATTTTGCGCCTTTTCTCTCGTGTTCAAGTCGCTGTGTAGTTCTAGCTTGGGGGTTACGAGACTTGCTTAGGATCCGAATATAGCGTTCAATCAGCAAGACTTATCAGTGGCGACGGGGGAAAAACTACAGTGAGTATTTCTTTGGTGGAACTAGAAGCTTATATGGAGCGTCAAGAAAAGCGGTTTGAATAGTCTCAAATCAGAATCATGGAAGTCGTTATGCAGAAATTATGCACGTCCCAACAAAACTGCTTCTGGTGAATTACAAGTATTCCATCCCCGTCGCCAGCTGTTATATCGATTGTATGAGTGCCCGAATATATATGACCGTGCTGATTCCCGCCAATGAGAGAGGAGTGCATTATCGATTAGAGCAATGATACACGAAAGCCGTATGAGCCGTCTTGAGTGCTTATCAGTCCTGCTATCTGCCTAACCCAGTCAGTTAAGTCCAGAACACCAATAACAGCCTCGACAATATGAATCATTATTCTCAAACATACTGAGTTTATATACCAAACAAACTGACCGAATTGTACTATAAAATAGAAAATAACATTAGTACAAGATTCAGTCAAACGTGGCTGTGAATAGGGGCAACAGTAATTAATAGGCTGGGTATAACTCAAGAATGGTAAATCGTACAGTAATAGTCTATAGGTCAATACAAAGCTAATGATAAGAGGAACATGAATATGAATAGTTAAGTTACTTGACAATTATACAATAGGAAATATACATATCATATTGGTCCATAAATAGTTCTCAAAATTACCATTCATAAATCTCCACGGGATATAACACTTTCGTAATTAGTTCTATGATACTTTTTGTTTTGTTTTTTTTATGTAAAAGCTCATAAGTACATTAAACACAAAACACGCATGACTAATCTATGCAAACAAATCTAAATTTATTGTAATATTTCTTTACGTAGTTGGAGAACAGTTGATCTGTCTTTATTCAACTTGGATAATCTTTCTTAAGACAAGTTATCCATATTGTCAACATGTTTAACATGTTCGCCTTATCAACACGAGTACTTAAATGTAAGGATTCCCAGTCCTGTGAAATCTCTTACATTGGTTTTTCAAATAGTTAGTTTAGAGGAGAGCGCCACCACGTCTAGCCGGAGTTCTTAGTGTAATTTTTATCAACTAAATTCATTTAAATCAATCTACCTGTGTAACATGAAATGACATGGGGGTTACAATAAGTAGTACAGTGAAAGGTTATTGGTTGATAATAATTAATCAACAATTATTCATATCACTGATTTATTACTTTGTATCCGACATGTAATTTATTTCCATACTCATTAATCTATTGTGTAAGATAATGATTTTCGCATTGATTTTCGGGAGATCTAGACACTGTTCATAGTTTTTACAACCTCAGTGATACAGAACAATCTCGTAGTGCAAACACATAAGTGCTAAGAGCCCTGGTGCACTTTGGTGAAACAAACATATAAATTACAGGCTTATCATGTTAGTTGAACATTTTGTAATATAAGTAGTATCAAATGTTAAATCATTAAGTCAGTGGTTTTGTTTTCTTAAATTTATCTAAGATTTCCAGTGCCAAAGGGAGAAGTTGGACGTCATGGGGAAAATGTCAGTATGAAAAATTTGTCACTTAGACATCTCATTATCAGTCCTGTTGTTCTACTGATAATCTACAAAAAGATTATTTTAATTTTACCATTCAAAAATGTTGGGAACCTTCCATAATTCTTTAAAAAACTCTTCAATAGACATTAAGATGTTGAAAATACTTTCCTGCCAAAAGATATCATTCATTATGGTGAATATTGAATTTGAGATCCTTCCAAACTACTTGTTGACAACGCCCATAGAATGAAATATTTTAAGGTCTCCCGAAATATGAATTTAACTCCCTAAATTATTGAGTTAGAATTTCCTTAGATTATCTTTAATCACTAGAAGTGATTATCAGGAATTCCTGTTTAATTTAGGTTTTGTGGTAGTTATAAATTGTCATGAGAGCCCATTTGTGATCCCGAAGGAACTAGTGAATAGTATTGACAACGAGAAGCTAGAAACAAATTTTGATTTGTAAATGCTTAGTTGACTAGATTAATCATAATTGATTGATCACTGGGTGGTGATCAATGTCATGCGTGTCAAATCCTTCTTAGTGCTGATCGAATGCTATCGATCAAGTTGCAATGTGGCCACTAGTCTAAGTGGCTCGACACCACCCAGTGATCAATCAGTTGTGATTACATCTCAGTCCTACAGGAGGTCGGTCGCAGCAGGAGTAGCTCAGTGTTGACGTCCCTGATTGTGAAGCTGAGTGACACGGGATCGAATCCGTCAGGGAGCACCAGTTCCCTCAAGAATACAAGTACACCTTGCTGACGAGTGCCAAGTAGCACGAAACCCGGGTCCAGGGTTTCCTGTTGACCATCTCCAACCACCATCTTATGACTGAAATAATATTTATGGCTGAGTGGTTGTTGTTATTTTAACATTCGTTAAGCTAAACAAATTTGTTCGCTTGTTTAACGAAAGGTATATATTTGAAAATTACGGGTTATTCAATAGGAATTGTTTTCATCACTTGTAGTGCTTTTAAATAAATAGATTGTTAACAATTTAAAGACTTCACAAAACTGAACACAACATGAGGGCTTAAATTCATTAGGATTAAAATAGAATTAAATTGAACCCTCAAATTAAATAAAGTGGATTTTAACCGTCCTTTATCACGTAAAACAGACTAATTTTTTAAAAAGGTCATTTTCAAAATTGTCTCCTTTTTATGATCTAGTTAATACCATCCTATGAACAGATGTTTAGTCTATGGGTTTATGGTGGGATCAAGAGATTTAAACACATAAACAATGCCATCTGTCTACTAATTTAATTATTTGCTTACGCCTGTTACCCCTAGTGGAGGGAGCATAGGTCGCCCACCAGCACTCTTCATCCAAACTACTACTATTATAGTTACTGAATTTTAGACGAATAAATTCCATTATTCCTTTAATCATTGATAACCAATTAAATTAATGGAATTTTTTTACACCCACTCATTTTATGACGAATGACCTTGTTTGATTAATATCACTATCTGATTGGTTGGAAAATTTTGAAAACTCAGAATGAATTGAATGAATAGTATTAGTTTGAACATAAAGACAAAATATCCATTACAAAGCATGATTATTTGATTTACACACGGATCCTTAATGTGACATGAACGTGAATTCGCTTTAGTGGATAATGATTATGATGATGATGATGATTATTATCAAACATTCATGGTGTATACACCAGGAACTTATTAAAATTATATATTAGATTTATTCTGTTTGTTTTAAAAATATGACAACTTAAAATCATGTACATTCTATGTAAAGGTTGGATAACTTTAATATTTATGAGCTTATTTATTTGGAGAGCGAATACATATAAAGCAGAACAAAGTAAGTTCAGAAGTATTCAACGTATATTTTATATATGGAAATAATCGTCTTTTTAATACTATATATTCCTTAGTACAATTTAGTCCTATGATGCATTTCACATTTATTTTTATTTAGGTAGGAATAAAGTGTAGGGGATGACTTTGAGTGACTATAAAAGTGACTCTGTGAAATTTCAACTACTCATTCATTTCAAAATGGAACTAGGGATTAAGATTAGAACACAGAGTTAGAAGGCACGACAATAGTTAGCGCTTGAGTTCTTAACACGAACTGACATCGAATATGATGCAAACATTTTATATGACCGTATGATTGAATAAATTTTGCATACACTCTAGGGTCACTATCTGAAATATGATTGGTTTGTTCTCATACATTAGTTTTACCCAACTTTCTAAGTATGTCACCACAATGTAAATTTATGCGAATTCCGGACTCGATTACTGATCATTACGTACAATCATAATTTAGACGACATTTAAATAAACAATTTGAAGAACAAATATTGCATTCATAACTTATCATTTACAAAATAAATATTAACTACTTACTTTCTTCCTAAATGAATACTCCTTATTATCCATTTTAGCCAATACCTCATTAAAAACTGCTACGCTTTTTACTATCAATGTTTGTAAGCAATATACACACAATCTCACTTTCGAATAATACCTATGACTACTTCATGGTTCTTAAGGTTTCAAGGTTGTCGATTTTGAAAACTCGGGTTCAGATACATTGTAGAGATACATAAATATTACATGATTAGATAAAAGGGGGCAATAATCATAAAGCCGACATTTATATGGTGTATGCTTGCTTAGTACCTTCATGAGACATTCTCAGATCATTCTAATTATCACCAAGATCCTACTTCAAATGTTTACTTATTACAAAATGTGACAACAGATATTAGTTAAAATCTCGGGTTTTTTTCCCTTAATCTAACGTTATTTCGACCCTACTACCTCGGTTTTTAAATAATATATTATTTGAATTAAAAAAACCCACTGTATCTTAGATCATTCTAATAACTATAGCTAGGGTTAGTGTTAACTTCGTATGATAATATACATTCCAGTCAATATTTTCTTTTTGAGTAGCCGTTAGTTTAAATAGAATGGGATAGAATTTATTTACAGACAAGTCCCTTATGCAAAGTTGAATCAATGTACTTCTGTACAAAACTTCTAACTGGATTAGACAAATCAATTGTAATCTATAGTTGTGTGCCTTGATTGATGCAACTTGGAACTTAACACTTTATGGCGTATGGGTTTATTTCTTTTTTATTTTTCCCTTGAATACACTCCCTCCGTTTGTCTTTATTATTACTTGAAATTATGAGTATGCACAAGCGGATTCTCATCTTATTTTTAATGTTCAGTTAATTAATCCTGTTATTAAAAGACAGATTTTTCATGGAACAAGTGTCTACACATTTGTGTTTATGCTTGTCTTAATTAGAATGGACACAATAACCACAATGTCTAAATGTGATTAAAATGTGTGTGTGTGTTTTTTCTCTTTTAAGACTATACAAAGGATAACTGAATACACTTCAATGGTTTTAAGAATGTTTGACGTCATGTATGATTGGAATTTTCTTCCATCATGTATGCGCATGTATTTCGAATAGTTAACTCATTAGTACGTACGGAGAATAAAAAACGTAGATGAATTATTAATTACATAATGAATTCAATCTTTACTCTTTACGATCTTTCCATAGTTTCGTCATCATATAATGTGATACTCGTTATACTCTTTTCTAGTTAACGATTCACAGAAAAAGAATGCAAAAATAAACTGGTAACACTTTTTTTTTTCTTGGAGAAAAAAACAGTCTGGAGGATAGAACGTCAATTATTTTTGTAACTGTAAACAAGTTCATTCATGCATATAACACAAGTTGTTTATTAAAATATTTAAACTGTTTGAGAAACTATTTTTTTAAAAGTGGAAATATCTATAAAATATAGATTGAAAATGACTTCAGTCGGTCATCATCAATATAGAGAGGGTTAGGGGGCATACATACAATGACCCAGTTTGATATGTTAGAACAACAAAATGAAGTCAACATAATACATATCAGAGGAATCAAAATAATGATGTATTTGATTGAAATCGTGAATCGATTGATGTTAGACAACCATTGAAAACCTAGAAGCTCTAAGCGGCCCTTTCGTCCTAGTGTCAGACTCCTCATCAGTACGCATTCATGATCCCACATGCGGGACTCGAACCGAATGCCGACCGGCATTCGACAGTGTTGATGTCTAACTTCAACCAATCCACGATGTTGCGTGACCATCTCTCATTGTATATGGTAAATACCTATCTCTACCTAACATGGGTTAACTCCACTGGTCACGGCTTTTCACTAGAACTCCAAAAATTCCTTCACGAAGCTAGTCATAAGTGAACTCATGCACAGAAAGAAGAGGGACTTATTGAATCAAACCAAATAAAGTACAATAGTTGTCTCATTTCACCTTGTTCCCACAATCAGAGTTTGTTTTATTTAACGGAATTTCGAATAAATTCTCATTTCATAATAATATCAGTGTATCTGATGTTTATTTAAAGAGTTCAGTTGAATATTTAGCTACCTAATATTTTACTCAAACTGGTAATGAGCAGTTTTCTATACTTCTATGCTGCTAATTACATTCATTACATCTTTTAAAATATTGGACATTTAATTATTCTAGGGTAAATATTTAAATATCAGGACTGATTTCTTTATACTACTTATGACCTACATAATAAATTATGGGGGAAAATCTTACTTTTCATTCATTGAATTTAAATAAAATGGACGGCAATGATGGTATCGGGGGATTATTGAAATGTAACAATTCTTACTTGTTAATATTATATATCATATTTCTACTCAATAAACACCGTGCCAACTAATATCTGCTTCCGTATCCATCTGTATAACGTAGTTAAGGTAATTTTCTTCATCACATTTCATCACAATACGAATCAAACTTTATTCAAAGAGGGAGAAAGTTTAAAAGCCATTAAGGCTATGAATTTTTTTATTAATGGTAATTCCTAAGTGAGCTTTCTCTTTCTTTCTATCCCACATAATGTCTTTCTATGTCAAATCGGATCTATCAATCGTCGTACATTAATCTCCTCCAAAAATTATTTGATGGAGTAGTAGAAAAGGATTTTTTCACGATGATCTGTATGTTTGCGTGTATTTGTGTGTCTAGATACATATGTTTTTTAACGTGATTCTGTTAGTTGATAAATTCCAGCTTTTCTTTTTTATGATCCATTCATCCAAAAGAAAGTGACTGTATTTTCGGCTGAGATATGTATATTCCCCCCAACACCTATTTTTAAACCCTTATTTATACTTTTTTGTTACATTTCAACTATCTCTGCTTATAATGCTTGTGACTTAAGGCAACAGAGAGCCAGTTCGCACAGGGTGCACATATCCTAATAAGAGACTTATCAATTTCAGTCCTAAATATCAATGGGAAGATCCAAACAACCAATACAAAAATGAATCCCAAGTATTTTTAAAAAATGCTATTTGCCTTCGTTAATAAGAAAATTTAGTCAGTAAACTAGGACTGTAGTATAAGTCATTTGTGATGAGAGATTGTTCCTCTTTCTAACACACATACACGCGAGCGCACGTACGTGGATCTTCGTACCCCTTAAAAATAGTATTTTCTACACTACACTTAAATAAGATGGGAGGTCATTCTTTGTTTTATTGTCATTACTACCACTATTATTATCAACATTACTATTCTAAGCAAATGAGATTTTATCGTAGGGATCATTACTGCTTCGCTTAACTCTAAATTTTATTTTAAATACTGAATTTAACAGCAATGTTAGCAATCTTTTCTTTGGATCAACTGGCTAAGTTGGATCTGCTTTGTTACACCTTATTTTCCTGTATTCAACATGTGTAATTGCATGTGTTTATATATTAACTAATCTAATTTGTATTCGCTACTGTTCTCACTTCATATTCTTACTTAATCGTTAGGTTTCTTATTTATTATATTTATTTATTTGAACACATAAATATTGGTACAAGGAAGCGCCAGATACATATGCGCCACACAAATCTCATTCGATTTGTGTGAGAGCTGTGATACTGCCCAGGTGCCCAAACTGAAGCAGGTGGTTTTCTTAGGGGACCACACCCGGAGGCTTTGACATAAAGATCTGATCCACAAGACAGTGGAGCATCGTGAGGAGATGCAGTCCCATGGTAGCCGGTCACCAACAGTTGGTTCATATGCCATTTGTTCCTTCAGGATACTGGAGCCTATGTACACCATTGGTTTTGAATCAGGTTTCCCAACTCCCCTAGATGGACTCGCCGTGTCCACCAACCCGGTTAAAGCGTCGGACATTTGTTTTTCGTCCTTTAAATTTCGTAAACAACAGTAATGCCACGAGAAGGCAGTGAGTAGGTTAGGTTTCTTATCATAAAATTGTTTATTTGTAATGATTCCATTGTCTCATTGAAAAATCTCATTTCCTTGTAGAATTAATTTTGATTACATTCATACCCTGAGACACACTTCGACATTGATTAGTAGTAATTGGATCCTGAAGTGTTCTTTTTTTAATTCAAAACTCATCATCATATATAGGTGGTGACGATGATCTCGACTACCCTGGTAGTGAAACCTAAAGCCTAAAGCTTACAACACAACCAACATTAAATCTCATTAGTTGACAATCATATGTTTTCTATTCATCCTTAGCTTTTTCAACAATCTACCCATAATTTTAGATAGCATTAAACTTCAGGTTAAGATGGTAGTTAGACAATTATATTACTGTACGGTAGTAACTTGAAACTCAGCCTTCTTGTCCCATCCATGTTATTCTTACTAATGATTAGAGCATAAATTTAGTCTTCATATACTCTGCACTATATTTTATACACACGCCTTCATATTACCTCTTTTCTTTCTATATTGATTTTCAAACTAATCGATTGA